TCTAGAAATCCAGCATACAATTTCAAGGATATATTGAAGCTGCAAGTCACACTCCATAACTGAAAAATAATGAAAAATAACCGTTGGCCAGGTTCTGTTTGGTAATTCCTTATGATTTACAATCAGTTTCAAATAGCACTGGCCTTCAGTAAATAAAAATGTATGGTTTTGTTTATTTCCATGACTGAGATTAAATCTTTTTTTTTCCCCTGAGAGTATACCTAAGTTTTTGTTAACTCATAAACTACTACAATCTTTTTTTTTTATTATTTTCCACACTGCTTAGAAAGACTTCATCAACATATGCCCTGAAATCCTCCATGGATGATTTACTTTAAGGTCAGAAATGTCTAATTAATTCCTTCTTTCTCAATTTCTTCAATAATTACATGTAAGATGATTATGACAGCACTCTCCAGAAGCTACATTAGGTACATATTTCTCTTCAAAATTCAACATCCAAATACTGTTGGAGAATACATATTGATGAATATTTTCTGGTGATTTACTTGGGTTTGTGCCAATTTTTTTTCACATATGTTATTATTTGTGTTACATAGTATTTACAGTGTTGTCTGTCCAGCTTCAGCCCAGAAGGACACTTTCTTTCTGTGGCTGCTCTCAGCCAGTATTTTTCATCAAATCTAAATGTCATCTGTATAAATCTTACTAACTTGAAAGGCATGAAAAATTTATCACATTTTTCCTTGGGTGCCAAATGCAGCCTAACTAGGCACCTGAGAAAACAGTGCAGCTCACAAAGACTTCAGAAAGTTCAAAAAAACCCCACCCTTTTATTTTTGCTACTATGAATACCTGCCAGGAGCCCCATGATGTATGAGGGACAGAGGTATTTGTCACTGACTATATCTCGCCTTGGTAGTGTAACAGACCTGTTCTGTTTCTTCAGGTCTATCAATGGACAAACAAGGAGTTCCAGTCATCTTTTCTATAATTGCAAGAACTATTCTGTCTATTTTTCCAGTCGTTCCAAAACGATGCGCATATCCTGCTCCTCTTTAAAGCATGGCCTTTCAATGTGAAGGGATCACATAGGTGTAGGAATTGTTGGACAATTCAATGCTTTCCTGATTTTTTTAGTATTCATAAGGTATTGATCCACTATAAAATGACTTCAAATTATTTTCAGCTTTTTTTGTTTGTGTTCTTACACAGGATCTAAATGCTTACATCACCTTGATGCACTGAATTGCACTGCGCTTTCCCTTTTTTCCATCTATTATGAATTTGTACATTTATTTCTCATATATCTTTTGTAGACTTAGCCTAGTGGTTTTAAACTGTGTGACTCAACTATTTTCCTTTCCATTCCCTTTAATTTAAGTGTAATAACACAACTTTTGGCAGCATCTTAGTATATGGGTCACCTGAAAATCAATACTACACTTTACCCCCAGACAGATCCACTGCCTCAGTGTCCTTTGCTCCTGTAAGACATTCTGAGCCAGGTCATATGCTCTGCATATGCCATGTGTGCCTTCCTGAAACTTCCAACTCCTTCCAAAGTGATATCACCTTTTTCAGTTCCTGGATCTTTTCCAGTTGTTCAGGCATCACACTTTGTCACAGTGTACAAGTGATACAGACTGTTCCTCTCCTAAGTCTCAAACATGACCTGATGCCTTCTCTAGGGCTCAAGCTCTCAAATACACTTTCTTCAGTCCTAGTGCAGTTAAAAGTTGTTCTGAAAGAAACTTCTTCTTCTCCTCTCTTTTTGTTTTTAGAAATCACCTCTATGTTTTATGTTTTCTATGACTTTTCCTTCTTAGTGTGTTTTCCTAATTAGTTTCCAGTAAGTCTCCCAAAGGCAAGATTGTGTAACATTTTTTTTATTTGTTTTCCTCTTTAATGGCAGATATTGATTGCAAGTCTGGAGTGCTATATTATTTAAATCCCTTTCAATTCATTTTTCAAACTTATAAAATATCAGTGCTAGTGGGACTGTATTAGACCCTTTCTCTTATCTGGACTATGATCCAGTCCAAAGATCTCTTGATGCTCAAGTCTTCTGTTTGGAGTTATGTCCCATTCCAAATAGATATGTAATGTCAAAAAATTTGCATCCTCACAGCAGCTTATCCCTTAAAGACTCATTTCTCAATACATATCCATCGCAGACTCTGGCTCCGCAGGATAGCTCTCGCTACCAAGAATACCTAGAGAATCTCGGAGATCAGGTACTTTCAAGCATCCCCATGCCAAATTCCATTCATTCCAATGTGACATTCCTATTGTCCCTACTCACAGGTAAAATGGCATAGGAGAGCCCTGACAAAAAAAAGCAGCTCTCCTTCCAGGCAAGCATTTGCTGTTGTGCTTCTACAACATTCTTGGCTTCTGCAATTCTAGGGTTAGGCTTCCAAGAATTGAGAAAGGCAGCCAAACCTTAGGTCTGGCCAGTAGCCAAGGGGCAAGTCAGTGCCAGCATGGCAAAAGCAACCACAGCTTCACCTCAGCTGTAAATACAAGGTCTGGGACTTTCCCTGAGACTTTGACGGGAAGTTCTTTCAAGTTGCGCACAGAAAAGGCTTGCGACATCCCCTCATCTGTTTCTCCCCTGTGCACTCACCCCGGCTTCCACTAGATAAACACCAGACGGGCTGCCAGGGTTTCTGCACTCTTCTCTGCAGCTCCTGAGGTCTCTCTTGGTCCAGCACATACAGCATCTCAGCAGCTCGGAAAGCACTGGCTTGCTTAGGGGGACTGCATCAGGTTGAGTGCACAGGTGAGTTTTACATAAATGAGACACAAGTTTCTCTCATTTCTGCAGGTGGGAACTGGGAACAAAACAGCTAAACTGTTGACCTGGGAAGCTTAGGTGGGCTCAAACTTAAATTTTTAAGTCTTCTGATGAAATTTTACCGCAGTGTTTCTCCCTAGTAGACAAAAAACCCACAGATCTAGGCCATGTCTGCTGGTATTTTATTGACATTATACAACCTATTTGTAACTAAGAGCTGATGTATGGGAGCACTGAGACAGGAAAGTATTTTTATCTGTAAATTTAGGACAAACCAGAGCTTCATATTTGTCAACTAGTATTCAGAGAGCTTACATATCAGATAACAAGTTTATTTAATCTGCCAGAGGCATTTGCTATAGTTAAAGAAGTCAAGAAAGCTTCTGCAAATAAGGGTTGGTCAGTGGGCTTTAAATGATGGATCTAGAAAGCGGATTTCCTTTCCTAAGCCAGAGCCAAAATATTGGCTTGAATTTTAGTAGGAATTGCAGGGTGTTGATTTTCCCCAAATTGTAAGTTATAACTAATGAAAGTTGGAACTAACGATTCTTTTCACTTCTGGATTTATATGTGGATTTCAAGTTTTCTCATCCCATTCAAGCAGCATACCAATTTTAATCCTCTTTAATATTTTATAAGTAAGGGGCTTCAATGCTGCAGAAAGAAATGGATTTTTCTTAAATATTGTCTTATATCAGCTCCACATTATTAATTCAGAGAACATTTGCAGCTGTCAGAACTGTTCTTCAACTTTGATATAGGAAAATTTCATATCCCCTCTAAATTTGCAACACAAACTGTCACTCAGACGAAAGGCCAATTTTTTCAAGTCTGTTGAGACTTCATAAAATGATGCAATTAGTGGAAGATGTAAATCTTTTTTTAGATGTGGCCTTTCTGAAGCTCCTGGATTTGTTAATAGCAATGATTTAGACTAGCATGAAGTAGCACTGAACTTCATACCAAAACATTGCAACAGCCATTGAGAAATCAAGCATCCCTGTACTTTCTTCCTCCATATTGGAATTTTCTTATACAAATATATTAGGCACTTTTCATATTTGTGCATTTTTAGGCAGATGACATGTTTTTAATTTACTTCTTTTAGTTACAGGCAGAAATGATGACCACATAAGGGGTCTACATCGTGCTCAGAAATTATTCACAAAGTGTGTAACCTACATTAGTGTTTTATTTCTGAGCAGAAGTTCACTTGGGAATTATTCTGCTGCCCTTCACCAGATATTCTGCCATGTTTCACATGAAGAGCAGTTGGAGACATGCAACCTCAGCTGCTCATGGATGAAACAAAACAATCTCACAGCTAATTGCAATTAAGCTCACAGGACCAGACCAGAGCTAGTCCAAAGTAAAAACCTCATCAGCGTGGGTGTTGAGTGCTCAGGTTCCTCCATATAAACGCAGACCCTCAAAAACACAGACAGCAACTAAGGCTTTCAGGGAGGGTAATTAAAATCTACATATTTTAAAGCCTCTTTCACTGCTTCCCCATCTATTTTTATTAAAAGCTGTTTATTTGGCAACTTCAATATTTAAGCTAACCATTTCTCCCATTCTGATCTTAGTTGCTGGAACTGCAATTTTTTCAACATTTTATTTTCTGTGGCACATTTTAGAGATGTTGGCATTTTGACTTCATTTTTATTCTATTTAGATTTTAATGTATATTGACTTTGCTGTTTGAAAGCTTTTTTTTGGGGGGTGAAGAAAAGGTAGGTACACATATTTAAATGTCACATTTACATGCCTATTCCAATCCAAACGCGTAGGGTCTTTTTGTCCCTGCATGCTCTAAAGCAAAAACCCCGGAGTCTTTTTTCCCTCTTTTGACATCACTGTTTAGAACCATATACTCTCTTGTTTTTCAAGATTTCTTCAACATGTACTCCCTTTAATGAGAACACTGAACAATGTAAGAGACAGTAAATTCACTTACTTGGTGTTGTAGGCAGGGCTGTGACAAAGGGGTGCACTCTGGAATGTCCTTGTGAGCTCTTCCTGGGCTGCTGCTGACAGCTCTCCTACCTGCTGCAGCAGTTTGGGCAGGGTGCTCAGTATGTGGTGGGTAGTGGGTGGCAGGTCAGGTAAGCACTGGTTATACTGCTGCTTCTTGGACAGAGGAGGAGTAGGAACAGCTGCTGGCAAAGACTTTAATTAGAGGACTGACAAAGCTGCTTCCCAATTTCATAGTGACTACTGAGTACAGCCCTGGACACACAATTGCAATGGTGACTTTTTGGTTTTTTAACTTTACTAAATTGCTGAGGTGACTTCTGGTGGGGTTACAGGAGAAATGCTCTAACTTCGGTGGTGGCAGTATACTGAAACACAGGTTCAGGCCACCCAGCTTGGAACTGCTCTTCTCATGCTTGGCTGAGCTGCCTTGTGTGTTGCGCTGGCAGAGCGACGTAGATCACCCTGGGTCAGGAGAAAGGCTAGGTCTAACCTTGCACTGGGAGATGCAGTTCCCATGACTTGCTTAGGAAAACATGAAGTTAAGATTAAATCAGGAGTGAGGACAGGTTCTTAGTTCTGGATGATTTCCCTCCATGTGCTTTTCTCAAGTGGAACAGCCTCACCAGGACTAATCAGAATGTGCAGAAAAAACATTCTCATAAATGGCATGATATCCCTAAAAAATAAGAACATTACTAAATTTCATTTGAATCCTACAACTCGAACTGCACCAGAGCCTCATAAAACTTGGCAGTTCAAAGGTGTTTAATTATAATAATCTCCTACAAACTACTTGATCAATACTGGAATGGCTCAACCACCCAATTCAGAGAAGTTACACCTGAGGAGTTACACCTGAGCATCTGGTGATTGGGATCAAAGTGTTTTACTGCTGCCTGTCACCAATCCTTTAGTGTTAGCACCATGTGAGCAATTTTCTGGAGGCATCTAAATAAACAAGCCTTAAGAGCTAAGAAATGTAGTGGAGAGGTTGATTGCCAAAGAGCAAAACACTTTCTGGCATCATTAGAGCACAGGAATGTTTGACAAAGGATTGCTCTGGGTGGTCCCATGCTATGATGACTGTGAGAGCAGGAAATGTGTAAAAAGAACACGAGTACTCAGAACAAGTGGATAATTATGCAATAATAGTAATAGCATAAAATGGTAATCAAATAAAAGACAATGGGTTTATTCAGAAAACTCAGTTCCTCACTTTGTATTGCATTTCCTTGCTAGAAATGCAAGAGAGGGTCACCCAGCAGGAGGGAATTATTTTGTCCAATTAGGCAATTACAAAAGCAGCATGACACTGTGTTTTGTACCTCCTGGCACCCTCTTCTTTGCTCTTCAGCTAAGTTTAGTTTTCATTTGCCTCTGCTCTACATCATGTCCCAAATACCCACGTTTTACTTCACTCCTTTCTTGCTTATTGCATGGTCTCGATGTGCAGAACCAAGAGGGTGACTTCTGCCTTGATCTCATGTATTTCACAGAGGTAGGAACAAGAGAGAGGCAGTGACTGAGGCCCAGGAGAAAGCAGAAGACAAAAACTAGGGTGATTTCCCTCCAAAGACGGCACCCTCTGCATAAGAGCATGCAGGTAGCAGGGATCTGTAAGAGATCTTGCGTAAGGTTTCCTGTGCCCCTGTGCAGTGAGCCATGGCACAGGATAACACTGGCTGCCCTGGGCTGTACTGCAAGCAATTCGGTGGCAACTGTGCCCCAAGAGCAGTGCCTCACAGGCAGTGCCCTGGCAGACAGGTGTCATTTATATCACCACCATCTTGGCTGGGAGCCAAGGTAATGTCCCACTGCTGTGCACATCCATCCCTGCTTACCAGGTGAGGAAATCAGCAGCAGCAGCTCAGGAATCTGCAAAATCCGGGCTGAATTCACAGGGAGCTTTGATTAGAATAAAAAAACCAAAGTAGATCTTTCATGCTGCCCTGAACAGCTCTGTAATTTTTTTACTAATGCCATTACTGTTTTATTTTGGGTTTTTTTTTATTTTAAAAACATGTTTCTAAATTCAGGCTTCTCAGCAATTTTCAAAGCCTATAGGTTAAGGTTATTGCTTGAAGCATCTTGAAATCATTGGCTCAGTAAGGAGAACTTCTCCCATCTTGCGAAAGAATTAGTTTGTAAAAGATTGCCTGATAAGAATTTTACCTTGTTGAAAAATGCAACAGCACTTAAAACTGTTTTTTTTCTTGTGGTTTTTTTTTTTCTTTTTTTTCTTGGTTTTTTTTTTTTTTTTGGTGAGGAACATAATTTCATCTGAAAATATCAGTATTCATTCTGCCCTGAAGGCAGGCATGTCTTTGCAGATGTCACTTGCCTTTACTCAAGTGGGAGAGGAAAATGTTCAAGTCCACATAAAGGAAACCAAAAGGAGCAAGTAAACACATTTAATATACTTCACATTAAGTGAGTAAGGGAGCTGACAAAGTTATCTACAGTCTTGGATTGTCATTCAATCGTATCTCTTTAAATGTATTTTAGCATATAAACTAGTGTAAGCAAGAACCAGGTTAATGAACTTTCTGTAAAATCTGATTGGCCCCATTCAAGACATGTTGTGAACACACATTAATTTGTTTTGGCATGAAAACTTCATATTCATGCACCGTTTCCTTAAATCTTTCATCATACTCTCACTCCTCAGATTTCTAAGGGCATAGGACAGCCAAGAACACTGTCACTGCACCACAGCAGCCACTTTGCCTCTGTTTTTATCACAGGTGTTATGAAGCAACTGGGCTTCATTTTTTTTTCTCACTTGTGCAACCCCATCCAAACATGAGCTAACTGAAAACCAACAATTCATTAGTGTAAACAGGAAGAGAGTCAGGCTTGTCACACACTCCTAGAGCTCATAATAAACATGTGACATGAACTCTTGCATTTTTAGTTTTCTGCAGGTCTTGTTTTAGCGAGTTGCTGGTGTAATGCCAGCTAATTCCAGTCTCAGTGTATGCTACTGATGGTCTGTCAGTAAAAGTTTCCTGCAAAACATCCCCTGACTTGTTCTCCATGACTTTTGACCACAATAACAGAGGGTCACAGTTGAAAGCCATTTCTCACTTGCTTCCTTCTCTTTTGGTGATACAGACATGCGTTTGGGTGTACGTACATCACAAATTTTTTAGGGTGTCCATTATTTTAGCTTCATTTCTGCAGGAAGTGATATTTCTCTGCTCATGCAGGGGTACGTGAGCGTCTTATGTTTGTGTGTTTCTCAATAACTTTTTTAGTGATGATTGTAAATGTACCAGGAGGGCAGAGTGCTCTCCTTTCCATATGTTGCATGAAAAAGGGCAGCTGAAGACCCCACAGAAAAGTTCTGAAAAATTAAAGACTGTGACTATATACATTTGATATACCTAAAATCCACTAGAAGAAGTGTTCTAGGAGTCATCTCCGTGATTGGAAACAGTCTCAAACAGCGCTTGTAATCAGCCAAGAAACACAAACCCCTAGGAGGCCAGGCTTCATTATTTCTAGTGTTATTTCTCTCTGAGATAGAGCTATTTGTTAATGTCTCTAAATGGCAGATGCTCGAAAGAATAGCTTCACAGGGAGGGGAGGACTCAGCAGGAGAGCAAGGGGTGCTTCTCCATGCATGGTGTATCTGCAAGCATGTCTTTCAAGGTCTCAGCACATCTTTTGGACCAACTGGGGTAAACCCAGTGCACCCTGCACTGTAGACAGGTCTGTCTCTCCTTCTCACACTTGCTCACCTTCAGCTGTTTTAAGAAACATTTTCATTCTTCTTGCAGTTGACTAGGTTGGATTAAAGCTTAATACCTACACACCTCAGAACAGTACAACAACCCCGAAGAGACTGAGGAAATTACTCAAGTTATAGCTGGTTTATGGGAGCAGCTGGAGGTGGTGAGATTTCCAGCCCTCTCAGTACTTTGCTATGATTTAGACAACATTAAGCACATCTATTTAGGACGATACTTCATCTGTTTGAAGAGCCTCCAGGCAGCTTTAGTGTACTCCCGATAAAAAGTGAAGATGTGGTAAATGCGATGTCCTCTGTAGGAGGATTTATTGTCTCAAACAATTATTTTTTATCAGCTTTGTCAAAACTTGGAGCCCAGGACTTTCTGCTGAGAAGAGCAGCAGATATTCATTTGCTTGAAAGAAAATTCATGAATAATTTGTTGTAATACATTTGTTTGGAGCTATTCTGCTGTTTTCTTTACGTGTTTAAGTGCTGGATTAATCATGGGAGAGTAGTTTAGCCATGTGCCTTTCAGTTTTAGGTGTATCAAGAAACAGAAAATGCAATTTATAATTTAGAGCAGATTTGGTTCTGCAGCTGTCAACTTATGAGAAACAGTATTTGTTATAGAGTGCATTCTTTCTCTTTCTGTGGGAATAGTAAAATGAAATTTTAAGTAAATGAGATTGCCTCCGAGTAGTACACATGTCTTTCCAAGGAGAAATTTTAAATTGCATTTCACCTGTTTTCCAAGCTACACCAGAATTACTGTATATTATGCATGTGTGAAATACTTCATCAAGTATTCCAAAGCTGCAGTATTACATATGTAAGAAATGAAGCATCAGTCTCTCTCTTTTTCTATTGTAAAATATAATATATATATATATAAAAATATATATTTTAATGAATTACTATATGTAATTTTAGTGCATTAGGGTATTTTTGTCTAATATACACCTTTTGATCATAGATTACAAGACAAAGCAGAAGTTTCATTTAGAAAAAAAAACCCAGCAGTTGTGGATGACTTCTACTTGCCAGTACACGCAAAAAATATTTAAAACAATAATGACAATTAACTCTATTCCTGAAAGAAACTGTTTAACTTTGGAGAACTCAACAGCATGGGAAACTAAAAATCATCAGTGCAAAAACTATAAATCCAAACAAAAATATGTACGCATTTACTCCTCTGGTTCAAGTTCACCATGCCCATCCACAGGTATATAGAACTTAGAGGAAGTAATGAAAAAAAGAGGGTTGATATAAATGAATAAATAAATACATACATACATATATACATACATACATATATACATAAATACAGACCCTGGCTGTTTCCACTGCCTTTGTCACTCTCAGTCATAGGCACTGTTCTTCATTGCCACCAGCTTATGTACATGTCTATAGGCTGGTGTCAAAGCACCATAGTCACCAGCAGTGCAGCCCAGCCATGATTGAAAAGGATGTATGTTTATCCAGTAGGGAGGGATTAGGTGTGCACAGAGGCATCAGGGAAGCAAACCTGATTAAACCTGCTTGGTCTGTTCAAAGAGGTATGAGGAAGGTCTACAGGACTTGGGGCAAGAGTTTATTTTCACCAGTTCAGCCTTAAATGCAAACTCAAGATCAGCTCACAGTTGCCCAGCAAGTTCAGGATGAGTAATCATGTTAAGTCCAACAGCATGCAGGGCTTTCTGTCTGTAGTGGTGGTGAGAATCTGTTTTAAAAATGTTTTGTAAAAGACATGCTGTAAACCTCTTAGTGAAATGAGTTGCCATGTGCCCTGCCTGTGTATTTCAAAATATGTAAGCAAGTTCTTGAATCCATGTGAGGAACTGCATGCTTTCCTGACCAGAGAGATACAGAGCTTTGACTGGAAGAAACCTCCAGCAGAGACTTGAGGTCTAATATATGTGGATGGTGTGTGAGAAAGT